TATACATGAGGCCCCAGGGGAGGGCCCCGGTGACCCGCGTCCGGGCAAGGGAAAACGTGTTTCCAAAATCTTTTTCATCATATGGGGTCTTTTGAGCCGAACTTTGTCTGGTTCCTCACCCCGGACCTGTTTGCCTTGGGTGACCCTACCAGGGGCATAAAGCCCCGGGCAACTTAGCTCCTGGGATCACTGGAACACGCAAACCCCTCCACCACGATAAGGTGTCGGCTCCAGGAGGGGCCCCTCTAATGCACTTGTTGTTAATTTCATTAACACCAAAGCTGCTGAAATTAACAACCCCCTCTGCTACTTAAATAACCAGATCAATATCCCAGAAGTTTAATTGACTTTATGCTAAACTCTGATTAAAAATTGTTCCTTTAATTTTTTTGAGCAGTATATAAAAGTGCCTTGCAACCCTGACCAGCATAAGTGAAGTGGTTGGAAGGATGGATGGATGAATGGAAGAAGCGGGCATTATTGTACATTCATTCCGAGTTTTGAGGATTTTGAGCAGTCCAAAGACATGTTGTTTAGGCTGACTGTCCTCTCTATTACCTGTTGTCTGTGAGTACATATATGCTCAATGATGGATTATCATCCCATTGATGGTATACCCTGCCTTGTGCTGTTTCAGCCTCACCTCTCCCACGTCCCAGATTATTGATGGATGGATGGAGATGAGGCAACCAACATTCTTAAGGTATTTTGTAGTCAAGTACTAAAAGTACTAAAAATCAAACTGAAAGTACTGTAGAATGCATAGTTGCCCATATGGACTTAATTAAAGAGATCACCTGCAGCCTATGGATAGCCTCCTCTCGTTCTTGCTCTATCTCATGGTAGTTTGACTTCTTCTGCAGAATATGAATTTCCTGAAACATAAGCAACACCACATAAGCAACACCACTGCTTGTATAGGGTCATGAGCATGGTCAGAAAATATCTGCAGTCACCAGCTTCTCAAACACTTCCTCATTCTCCTATTTATGTTCCCCTGTAGTAAAGTTTTAATTCTTATGTTCATTCTGAAGGGCACACAGTGTATAATTGTTATTAAGATGAAAGATGATTAATTCTTTAATGACATCTGTCTTTTCATCACAATTAAAACCCTCTCACAGGAACTTTTTTCAGGAAAAAAAATGCTCCACGATTCAACATAAAAGTGACCTTCTCTTTTGTGCTCTGGCTTTCCTGTCGTTAATTTGTCATACATGTCTTTAAATTGTTTATCTATACGAAATGTACATAACAATTGTGCACCAATATGGAAATTTTGACCGATACTGATATATTATTGATTAATATCGCCAATACCAGTGACTGTCTAACCTCTGAGCCACTTGCCAAGCGGGGGTTGCAGGTGCAGATTAGTGGAATGACATCTTTTTCTATTCTGTGGAAAACCAAAAATTGATCTGCAGGCCTGACTGTATTGCCCAGACAGGGAATGCATTTGTATTTGGGACCAGGCTGATGTCAGACTTTGGGTGCTAACCGGGAACTGATTTAATTTGGCCACAGACTGCCCCAAAATTGAAGCAAAGCCACTTAGTGGCTGCAAATGGAAATGTGAAAAGTATGACATTGGACCTTGTGAATGATATAAATCAAGAAGTAGATCTACACCTGATTTCATTTTCAGATGAACTGACCCAAAAATGAAGCAGCAGCACTGTTTGGCAACAAAGGAAGGAAATGTCAGCTGTAGAAGACACTTGTATTGAACAAAGTAACTCTGAAAGTATTTTATGGATCTTTATCAAACTTTGCAGGCACATTGTAGGAGTGACAAACTGGATCAAATTGTGAGAATTTGAAAATTGAAGCAGCACCGCAGAGTGAAAGCAAGAAAAAAGGGTACTTTCTGACACTTACCACATTACAATAACTCATAAAATATTTGACAGATCTGTTTCAACCTTTGCAGGCACACTATATGGATGAAGATCTGGACTTTCAAGTTGCATTAAAATTGCATCAAAACTGAAGCAACAGCACTTAGTGACAACAAAGAAATGGCTGAGTTGATAAGATGCTTAATGCTAACGCTAAAGACGCTAACTCTAATTATTATTACTCTATTTATTTGATCTATAATGGATCTTATTACCACTTCAAATTATCTTATTACCACTTCATCATATCTGTGAAAATCTAACCCTGAAAATCTTCCCAATGATAGACTCCTAATCAACCTTACATTGGAACTGCACAACAGGGCAGCAGAATATGAAAATGGAAGCTGCAGCCACCACCTTATAAGCACAGCCAACTGGCTTCTAAATGTATTCTGTGTTTTTTTTTCCCCCAAACTTTCCAGGAACATTGTACACATCAGTGATTCTCAAACTGTGGGGCACGCATAATTTTAACACTGATATTATAGTTACATACATAAATAACTGTCAGATCTATTAACTATAATGCTAATTCAAACATACTGCAAAGCACTTTAGTAAAGTAATATCTTCCTAGGAAATCTATACCAAAATGGAAAAAATGGAAAGCTGAAAAGGGAAGCTGCAGTCGCCATCTTGTAAACACAGTCATCTGGCATCAAAATGTATTCTGTAGATCTTTTTGCAAACTTTCCGGGAACATTGTACATGTCAGTGATTCTCAAACTATGGTTTGCAGCTAAGTGTGAAGTGGCCGGGATGAGGATCAGCACCTCCAAGTCTGAGGCCATGGTTCTCAACTGGAAAAGGGTGGATTGCCTGCTCCAGGTGGGGGATGAGTTGCTACCCCAGGCGGAGGAGTTTAAGTATCTTGGGGTCTTATACATGAATGAGGGAAGAAGGGAGCTGGAGATCAACAGATGGATCGATGTAACATTGCCAGTAATGTGGATGTTGTACCATTCTGTCGTGGCTAAGAGGGAGCTGAGCTGGAAGGCAAAGCTCTCGATTTACCAGTCAATCTATGTTCTTACTCTCACTTATGGTTATGAACTCTGGGTAATGACCAAAAGAATGAGATCACGGATACAAATGGCAGAAATGAGTTTCCTCCACAGAGTGTCTGGGCTCAGCCTTAGAGATAGGGTGAGGAGCTCAGAAATTCGGGAGGGGCTCAAAGTAAAGCCTCTGTTCCTCTACATCGAAAGGAGCCAGTTGAGGTGGTTCGGGCATCTATCTAGTGTGCCTCCTGGACGGCTCTCTGGGGAGGTGCTCTGGTCATGTCCAACAGGGAGGAGGCCCTGAGGCAGACCCAGGACACACTGCAGAGATCATATCTCTCAGCTGGCCTGGGAACACCTTGGTATTCCCCCGGAGGAGCTGGAAGAGGTGGTTGCTGAGAGAGAGGTCTGGGCATCCCTGCTTAGACTGCTGCCCCCGTGACCTGACCCTGGATAAGTAGTGTAAAATGGATAGATGCATGGATGGATGGAACTTATTGCTGTCCAAGTTGATATATTTTGTATAGCTACACATCTTCAAATGGTAAAATCAGTAGTGCCATTAGTGCAAAAATGAAATTACTTCAAAGTGCATAGGCTATAATGCCACCGGGCCTGCTCTCTCTGAATATTACAATAGAAATATTCAAATAAGTATTTGTAGACATAGTTTATTGGTGATTTCATTGTTCATTGAAGTTTCAGCTTTTTAACAACTGTACAAAGTAATGTTATTTGTTATATTAATCAACTCGGGTGAAACAAAAAATGTACGTTTTCAGGGTAGCCAGATCTCAAGCATCTGGCATGACACTCGCTTTCAGACTCACGCAGGAAATCTTACGGCAAATCTAAATTATACCATTATAAACCTAAAATTAGTCCAAATTATGTCATATATTTTAGTGTTCATGGATTTAAGTATTGGTTTTCTATAATCCCACACCGGCAATAAAATTAAAGACTTTAATCGCTGTTAGAGTAGGATATGGACGGTCTTGTTTCGAAAAGATATAAAACGTGACGTGTTTTTCCCATACAGTGGTACCTCAGAACTCAAACTTAATCCGTTCAGAACTCCAGAACGAATCCTAAAAAGTTCGGGTTCTGATCGAATTTTCCACATAATAAATAATGGAAAACCAATTAATTGGTTCCCGGCCCCAAAAATTACACCTAAATATGTTTTTTTTTTTTTTAAGCATTTAAATACAAAATGAACCGGATAAAACAAGAAGAACATATACTGTACTAAACACATCTAAGGACATTTATCAAAGCAGTAATTTGTAAAGTAAGAAAATAAATGTATCCAAACAATGTGTAAAGTTAAAAAAAGCAATGTGTCATGCCCCAATCGTCCGGCAATCGTCCGCTCCTTCCGTGTGCTACACCCCCTCCTTAACCCCGTGTGTGATCAGCTGTTTCTGGTTGTTGTCATGAATCCTCTGTATTTCGTCCACGTTTCAGTTTGTTTCCCCAGTCCTGTCATTGTATTGTCCGTCTGCGTTTTGCCTGCCTTACCTGTAATTAAACCCTGTATTCCCTGATACCCTGACGTCTGCGCCTTTGTCTCCGTTCCGTCCCCGCTCAGCACTATAATATTATTGTAATTAAATGTATTAATGCTTTATTATTAATATTAAAATAATGAATAAGAAATCTTTATTTTTAAATGTATTTTATTATATAATAATAATTACTGTTACTGTCTATCATTGTCTAAATGTATTTTTACTGTCTATATATATGTATTCAGCTAGTGTAAACATGCACGATACTATTACAGCGAATGCGAGGCTGAGACTGAAGCGTTACCCTTTGTTTCTGCTGAGACGTGCTGCATGACTCATTTCCCTGTGTACAAGTTATCTTAGGTCGGCATTCACAGTATGACTTCTGAGATTCAGATCAAGTACTAGGTAATTTTTTTCCGAACTGGTTGGTTCGACTTTTAAGAAATTCGAGTTCTAATGAGTTCGAGAACTGAGGTACCACTATTCATTTTATATTTGTTGGAGTAACAACGCAAACGGAATGACGAGCCGTTTTAGGTGAAAATGTCACGCCCAGCTCCGTCCGATCCTAATGTGTGCCACGCCCACCTCGTTACCTCCTGTTCATGCCTGATTGTTCTCACCTGTTGCTCGTTACCCTTAGCTTGTCTTGTGTATTTAGTTCTCATCTGAGTCAGTCTTCCCCAGACTTGTCATTGACGTGTGTAGTGTTGTGTTGCCCTGCCTGTGATCGTCCGCCCTGTCTACCCTATTAAACCCCGTTTGCACGTCTGACCGGCTCTGATTGCCTTTCTGCCCGTCCGCCGACCACGCTACATGACAGAAAACAGTGCACTTTACTTTTTATTTCAAACAAAAATCCGGGTTGCTAACTTCCGCCAGCTGGCTGGAGTGAGATTTTCAATTCGAGATTTCTGCACATATGTATCAGTTCTTACCTTGTAAATAATCTGCCTTTGTATTTAACCATGTAAATACACCTATAGACACGACTGTATTAGGGTCTTAAGTTAAGCACTTTATTTAAACATGCACAATTTTCACATTTTATTTATTTTCTCTTATTTTGAAATGCAGCCCTACCTTTATTTAGTAGATGTTGATACAACTAATACACTACTTACAGTAACTATATACACTCACCTAAAGGATTATTAGGAACACCTGTTCAATTTCTCATTAATGCAATTATCTAATCAACCAATGACATGGCAGTTGCTTCAAT